AAGTATTTGTCTTTCAGCTAAAAATATACATACTATTTTCATTTTAAAGCAAGTAATAGTACTTTGAAAGTATGTTTGACTTCTTACAAAGTTAAAGTTCCTTTCAACAATCTTTCGATCGGTTTCTGCTCCTACATAGAAAAAAAATGAAGTATCGAGGAGTCAACAAACTGTGACTGCAGCATTGGCAATGTCCGTAGCAATTCTGTGGGCCAATGGCGTTACAGGCGAAGAAGCGCGCGTCACTATATTATTCGAAGTCTCTCGTAAAACGACGTTGCGCGCGAAGAAGCATAAAGAATCGTTTTATGCTCGCAATAAGACACTTCGCATTCACCGTGGCCAGGATTAACCGTCTCTCTGGCGTCCTCTGACTCGAATTAAAACGGCGACCGCTCGGACTTGGTTAAATTTTCATCATAACTATGAAGCGACGCATCGTCGTCGACCACCACCTAAACCGCGGGAATTTATTTAAGCGGCGCACACATTGTACGCTAAAGTTTCTGACACCCGTTGGAACTCTGCATGATGACGTAGCCACAGAAATTTTTCAAACCTTTTACGTACGTCACTCGACACACACGGAGAAATTTAACGATTCTTCAAGAAACAAATTGCGTGATTAAAACCGAGATAAATAATTTTTGCTGTATTGACGATTCATGTATATTGTATTAAAATAAGTCAACGTGAATTCTTCGTTTTTTGCCAGAGTTTAAAGTCCTCTTTTCTCAGTTATGTTGTTCTGATCTACTAAATTATACAAAAGCAGAATTTTAAAATATTGAAAAGCACAATAAAAACGCAAAGATTTGTGTTTTGTAAATACGCTTCCGCATTCCATAATTCTTTACTTTGATAAGACTTCGAATCGTAAAATTTTTAACAGTACAAGCTTGATAACGTTTCACAGCAGTGACTGAATGAACAACAGAGGCTCGAAACACGCGAGCACTGCTTCGCCAGCAAACTATACGAATCATATCTAGTTTCAATGTAACTGGAGAAACTATTCAACGGTCCTGGTTATTCCACGTGAATTCCCCTTTGTATGAATAAGTGATTGTAATTCGAGCAAGATTTCATAGGGCAAATATTAATTTGTTGCAGGTTTCCTTAAAACAGGCTCGAAGGGGAGTGCGCAAGGAAATTACGGTTTGATGGACTTAGTAGCAGGCCTTCATTGGTTAGAGGAAAATCTGGATGCTTTTGGCGGCGATCCCAAACGGGTGACGCTCTTTGGTTACGGAACTGGAGCCGCCCTCGCTAATTTTTTAGCCGTCTCACCCATGGCCAAAGGTAAGCCTTGATTTATTATCTATTTGCTTTTACATTTTACTTACAATAATTTCATTTATATCACATCAATAAAATGGGTACAATAATAATAGTTCTATTTATCGCATAATATAATATATCAATTGTGGCCAAACCGTGTCGTACGAATCAAACGTGTGCTCTTGTGGAAAAAACCATGCGTCAATGACAAATCTTTTAGTCGGCATTATAATAATCAAGAGAGATTAAGAAATTTTTTCGACGATCTCAAAACTTCATAGATGTACAGAAATTTATACTGAATCCGTTCAATCTATGGTTAATAGGATTGTATCATTTTAGTGTGGATACTCTGTATGCACAAAATGTACATAAAATAAAATATTAATCCAATTGAAAATATGGTTCTGTATTATTTCTAATAAACAAAATGCAGGTTACATTATGATAAGATTCAGCCACTACTGTGGTATATCTTATAATTTCAAAATGAATTTCGCTTTCCGCTTAATTCATTTTCGTATGTACGAAAATTGTCTATTAGCAGTACTCGGAATACCTTATCATTCTGTGTACACTCATACACGGGCAACTCCATTATCAAACTATCTCAAGAAACACGTTCGAAAGCGGATACCGTTCCAAACGTCACCAGTTTCTCGAAACTAGACATTGCACTCAACGCGGTTGACGTTCACTCTGCAGAAATATATCACTACTCAAAAGTTTTTATGAAACTTACTACATTTCTACGGATAATTTTTAAGTATATGGTTTGAGTAGGTTGTTTCGTCGGAAAGTCAAAGATATCAGGACACACGCGTGGGAAGCACGGTCGAGGGGATATTCCTCGACGATGACGGTGTCATCGCCGTCTCCGTCGTCGACGGCCACTAGAGACCTTAACAAGCTTCCTCGAGTGTAGACCTCCTCGGGACAGAGAATAAGGGTAACAGAGCCCGCCGGGGTGAACGCGACCGAGGATAGGGAGGAGAGGGAAGTGTAGGGATCGTACCGCATTCCTAGATTGCACCTTCATTCTGCTAACGAACCCACCTCGCGTCGTTCTTAATGCCCTTCCACAATGCGTTTTAACCCTCTCGTATCCTTCTGCTCGAGTTCAACCCTAATGTTTCTGTATTCTTGGATCGCGAACGCTCCTCACTTGTAAGACGACGAGTTGAATATTTTTCGGTTGCTGAAATAAATTCATATCTCGAGTCCCGCTCAGAAATGAAATAACATTAATGCTACTTCTACATATACAATACGATTCATTTTCATTCAAGTACAGTAGTTTTCGTGTACACATTCCATACATACGAAATAAGCGTTATGAAAAATACAAGAATTAACTAGATGATACGTATGGAAACAGGGATAAACCATCTCAGGCATAATGACAATCTGTTGTATAAATAAGTCACTACGTACATATCGTATTATATCGTGCGATATCTTTGGCATTACAGAGTTGGTCGAGAAAGTGGTTTTACTCGGTGGTTCTGCTCTGTCACCGTGGGCCTTGCAGCGTGATCCGTTAATGGTGAAACGTCGCGTCGCTGATCAGACCGGATGCTCTGGTGACGTTGAGGCTGACGATATCGCACCGTGCCTTCGTTTAAGGAGTCTGGAAGAGCTTCTCGCCGTGAAGTTGGATCCGCCGAGATTCACTTCGGGATTTGCTCCTTTCGCCGATGGGACGGTCATGCCTCTGCCGATCAATCAGGTACCAGACGTTCATAAAATCCTTCCGTTTCTCCCGTTTCATCCTCTTCTTTCATTTTCCTTTTACGGAGGGTATATGTATGTATACATATACCTACCAGCTACATTCTTTTCTAAATGTAATATGAAGCCATCTCTTCCTTTTTCGCTCACATTTTTAAAGTTCAGTCTTATATTGATTCTTTAACCACTTGTATGTTTAAAATATGCTTCCACGTATTTATGTCTTACATTTATCTATTTTTTTCGTAAATATTTCTGAACAGAGCATATTCAAAATTCCAATTATCTTTGTCCATTAATCCAATATACGCTGGCTCAAAATACCTTGAATAATTTACAAAAATCGCGGTCACCGCGTTTAGAATCGGGTCGTCAGACATTTTGGTCGCGCGAGGATAGTGGACGACTACACGACGGGTAAGCGATGAGTTTGCTAATTGAACCGACAACCGACTGACAGATGTCGAGCTACGAAAGCCAGTAGTATAAAGTGCCGGATCCTACCATTAATCGATCGACTCTCTTTTTCTCTCTCTCCCCCCCTGTCTCGAAAATCGTTCGATAGAAAGTGTATCGGCGCGGTGGTAGCAAGATTCCTCGTCAGTGAACTTTTAATTAAAAGCCATAAAGTATACGGTGTAATTGCAATTATCCCAGCGAGTCTCGGCAATCGGAGCCTAGCTTAGGAAATCGATAGTTGCCCGCAACTTCCCTTTTGCGACCGTCGTCGTCTTAATTGCACAGAGACAGAGAGAAGGCAGAGAGGGAGGTAGAAATAGAGAGAGGCAGAGAGACTCGTGATCGATTTCTACCATGGTACGTCGTTGAACGTGGTATTTTCTCCTTTCTGTTGTCAAGAATTTCCAGCCAACTGCTTCGTCGTCGGGACTAATGCCCCTAGTACCGGGTCCAGGTACCGAGTTCGCTAACTTCGGAGAACGAGACCTGCTGCTCGGTCTGACGTCCGAGGAAGCCTGGGTGAACCTCACCGACGAGGATCTACAGGTAAGCGGAAAGCGTAAATAAATCGAGCTGGCGGGCTTCAAGTTCTTCGACGAAACAGTGTACGTACGGCCTTTGAATCCGACGGTTATAGTTTATTCACTTTTACGAGGTTGTACCACAGACAAAATTTGACGCATTTTTCAGTCAGTTTTAGGTTTTAATAATAATGTAATACAGTAAATATATGTTTGTTACTGTAATGAAATAATATGAAGTACATATAAGATATAATCTAATTAACAAAATTATTTCATTACTATATAAACATACTAATAGATTTATTTTAACACATTCAAGCTATTAAAGTTACATTCGAAGTGCCTGAAGAATCTCATTTAAAACTTTTTATCTCCTCAGTTTTCCACTCGTACAATTATCTACTGTATGCAGGTGACTTAAAACTCTCTCCATTGACAACCCAGTATGTTACAGGAAAATACAAAACGATCTCATAACTTATCAATCTGGTGCTTAGTTAAATAAGGAACTACCTATAGCTTAACATTGATAAATGTTTTGTCGTCTATTTTATTCGTAAGAAACACAGTTTAAAACACAATTCATTTTCTAGATTCTAGACGGAATCGTTCTAAATAACGTTGACGATGTCCGTGACTTGGATGTACAATTTTCTCCTTTATCTTTTGCAAATCACTTCCGCTTTATCATAAATCTTTGGTATGAAACCATCAGTCTTATTTATACATCTAAATAAGCTCTTCGTAGATGTCAAAACTCTCAAGCTGCTGTTCCGCAGGTTTGCTCGTCCTCATTTCGAGTTTAGTTGTATTGGTCACCACACCAACTGTACACTCCTGTATCGAACGCAGATTTTTAAAAATAGCAGCGAAACATATGGATCTATCCGCATCTTTTAATAGCTCAAACATAAACTATGCTGCCATTCTATATTGGTTAAATATGTCAACGCTTGAGCGAACTCGCTTCCTGCCTGACGTTTGTTCACGATGTCTTAAGTGACGTAATTTTCGTACTCCTCAACATTTACACTTCCTGTCGAAATTCTAGACTTACATTCGTACAAAAACGACGTACCCCGTATGGAAATTTTAAACCAATTAAAACAGACTAACTGTCTGTTAATAAACGTGATAGCAAAATCGATATTTTTCAAAGCTGAATTCCTGTCATAAAAGGAATCATCGCCAACAATACCACGTTATAACATAATCCAAGTAACTTTAGATTTCTTTTTGTTTTCATCTATAATTAAGTCATTTGTTCCATTTTTTTTTTTTTTGGTATGCACTTTATGTATTATTAATAATAATAAATAAATTATTGATACGTTTGTAAAAACGATAGTACTTGGCAGTTTTTACTGATATTCTTTTTTGTAAAATCTCTCTTTATAATTTGGAATGGAATCTGGAACAGAGAGTTTTGTGAAAAAATTGACGTAGATGAACTGTAACTGTATTAAATTATTTTTAATCGGGGCTTGATGAAACGCGAACGAATGGTGCGTACATGGCACACGCTGCTAATTGACCCGAATCCAATAAATTACTAATTAACGGGCGCACGGTTGCAAAATGGCATGACTACCGCGTCGATTCGAACTCGGACATTATCGACAATCCGACGGTCACGGTCGACGGGCGTCTTGCTAAAGCGTGTTTCCGCGGTTCCTTGACAATTCGATAATGATCGGACGTTTCGCGATCCCGTTTCTATTGTTCATTTGCATATACAGTGGTGGCAATAATTCCGGGACGTGAAATGACCTCGCTTGGATCCCTCTTGGTGCACGCGCACGTTAATTTGCGGTTAAAGACCTTTAATTATACCATCTTGAATTGCAAATCGAACCACGTTTGTCGACTTTCAAGTAAATCATCGGAATATTGGTAAACAAGCTGGACTTCCATTTCAAACGAAGAAGCGTGACAATTTTAAATAATGAATCATTTAAGGATCTAGGGTACTTACGTGGCTTTTCTAACATTCGTTGGTACATTTTTACGTTTCTTGCTGTTTCATCGATAAGCTTGTGAAACCAGTAGAAAATGTGGAACTAAAAAGGTCGACTTGTATTAAAAGATTTTTCGGGTCTTCAAGTCCTTCGGGTCTTCTACAAAAGGCAAGACTTAGGTCTTCATTTCCTACAAAAAAAACTCTTTTCGATATAAAAGTAGTTTTTTAAGGCTTAGCAGCTATGATTTTTGCTTCTCTTTGTAATGCTTATTTTATTAAATTACTAATTATCCTTAAGTTAATCAAAAAGTGTGTTTAAAAAAAATAACAAATGGTAAATTGAATAATATGCAAGAAAATACCACACATTCTATTAATTTAAAGCTGTGAGACAAAGTGTATCAATTATTCGTTCGATATGGTTGTAGAATGGTCTAAACGAGACCAGAAGGGACCGGATTTTGCGCACGTACGTACGAAACACCTATCGTTATCACCTTCACGAGATCTATTCGACCCTCCGCAACGAGTACACGGATTGGGAAAGGGGTGAACAGAGTCCTTTGGCGATCTGCGAAGGCCTCCTATCGTTGCTCGGCGACGGCCAGGTTGCCGCTCCTCTTCTACGACTGGCGTTGCTCCATTCCGCCTCCGGTGGTCGCGGTTACTTCCTTCATTTCCAACTCGGCGACCGTCCGAGCCAGAAGGGCGAGGAGGTGCCTTTCCTCTTGGGCGTACCGCTTCTTCGAGGAGAATTGATGCCTGTTCTAGTCGCCCAGGCCAACTACACCTTGGCTGATGAGAACTTGTCGAAGCTGCTGGTTCATTACTTGGCGAACTTCGTCAGACGTGGGTAAGTCTTCGTCGCTATTACTTTCTATTGTATTTGAAATAAAATATTCGTTGTAAAATATTAAATTTTCTCGTTATTATGGACGAGATATTTCACGTAACAATTTCTTTTATGTGAAGCTATAAACTAAAATATCTTGCATATATCCTTCTGTGTGTATCCTTATTACCCTGCATCTATCATATTATATTTTGAAGCATTTCATACAAAATAAAGATAACAATATTTCGTGCCATTTTCGATCATTTTCCATTAACTATCCAATGTCCACAAACTAGAGTTTCTATTTAAAATGTAACCAATAACTAATTAACAATTACTAATATAAGATACCTTACATAAAGTGCTATTTTGTATACGCTCCATAGCATCACATAAGCGACGTAATGATGACGAGATATCTCGTCCTCGAAAAAAGTATTAATTAACGCCCATCGCGATTTTGAAAGTGAAGAACTGCGTAGAGTAGTAAAAATGTTTATAGAAATGGAAAATACACAAGACAATGTATCCATCAATACGGGTCTATTTAAGAAAATTAATTTCGACCTATATAGTGTCCCTCATTACGCTACATGACGCGCAGCGTCAGCGAACTTTTTACAAGAAATTAAGATAAGAAATGCTTCTTTTCTACGCTCTTGATTAATCACCGCACACGAAATTACTTCTTGTTTGTTTGTGCCATCATCGAGGCCACACTTTGTACTTTGCTTACTCTAGAGACGGGAGTTCGGGGCCGAAGCTCGAGCTTCCGTTTGGAGATTGGATTCGCCGAGAAGTAGTTGGATGGATAGTGGGTCGTTTCGTGCGCGATATTGAGCGGGGTTTCTTTGGTAGCTGCGAGGAATAATGGAAAATGTTTGCGTATCGGGTGTCTTGCGGAGAATTGTCGTGTTCTGAGGTCAGGATGTATATTCCAAGTAAGCGTCTTGTATTACCGGGGTGCAAAAACGGGGTACGTAAATTACGATGTTTGAAGGATGGCCTTTTGAAGAACGATTAGGTTGTTATAAAATTCATCTTGGTTGCACCCTTGTAATATAGAAATACGTCGTGTTTGCGAGACATCTAATCAATAAGTAAAGCTACGTCTGCACACACTGAATTTGTTATAATAACACATATTCTACTGTGTGTACAACACAAAATGTTATATAACACTATGTTGTATAACATTTTGTTTCCTGCATTTCTAACATGTTATGTAACTTATAATAGCTGTATAGTGCAAACGCAGCTTAAAAGTTTGCTTAAAGTAATGATCTAAAAAAAAGTTTTTTGACCTGGTTCGCTTGGTTTCTTATTTTTTTTTTGCTCGTATAGTTGGAAAGTCAATTTCTATGAAATTAACAATAAATTTAATCCTAGCTCTTTGCTCGAAGTCTTAAGAAACTAAGAGGTTCATAAAACTGTGTAATTATCGTTAAAGAAGATAGCTCTGATAAAGCTCGCAGATAACTGCCCTGATTTTATTTGCCATTACGGGTGACTTTAATTTTCGATTTAACATTTGGTCAGCGTTACAGACTATTAGAAAGGTTGATACACAATTTGATAAAAAGATTGATGGTCTGATTGATCTATTGTTCGTTTTTTACTTTGCTTTCGATGCAATATTTGCGCTATTAAAACTCGGATAACGTTTTTAATTGGACTAACATTTGGGATGGTTAGTTTTTCAGACTAATACGCAAGGCAATTCCCATGCAAATACAATTTCACCCCAAGCCGAGCCATTCGATATTCGGGTAAAATTGTGAAATCAGATATTTCACTTTTCACGTGGTAAATAATACTCTCAATTTGTTCGAACAAAATAGGGAATAACGATAAAAACTTGGAAAAGATCATATTCAGAATATGAAGCCATAAACTTTCTACATCTTAATTTAATTTCCCATTTCTCTGTTTCAAGTATCTCATATTTCGATGATGATTAAAG